CCATAATCAGGATATAGAGCAATTCCATTACTTGAAATAATTCTATCCCCTAACCCAGTTCCTGGCTGCTGCTTACCTTTTCTTCATCCATATATTTGTATCTTTTCAAGAAAATGTCCTTAGTAGGTGACCTTTAGAGACTAATGCTTTTTCACTCAGTATCCTATCTTTGGGATTCATCCAACTCCTTATGTGTGTCAAAGGTTTGTTTCTCTTTGTTGTCAAGTAGTATTTTATTGTGTGGATGTACCACAGTTTGTCCATCTACCAGCTGAAGGGCAAGTGGGTTGCTTCCATTTTTGCCAATTATGAATAGAACTATTATACCCTTGAGGTTTTGTGTGAACACAAATGTTCCTCTTCCAGGGTAGATACTTGAGTGCAGGACTGTATGTTTAACTCTGTGAGGCGCCTCCAAGCTGATCTCCAGTGTGTCCCAGTTTTCACTTCCACAGCAAGGTGTGAAAATTCCAGTTGCTCTGCGTTCTCAGTTCTTGGTAATGTCGGTAGTTTCAGTTTCCGCTGTTCTCGTAGGCTAATAGTTGTACCTCATCTTTGATTTAATTTGCTCTAATAGCTGATGATATTGGACTTTTTCATACGTTTGCTTGTCGTTCTGCATTCTGTTTGATTTACTGCCTACTTTTATGCCTCTTTCCCTTGTTAAAAATGGTGTTGCTTTTTTATTGTTAGCTTTGAGAGTTTTTATTACGCGTGTGAGTTGGATGTGTAATTTTCTCCCGGTTTGCAGCTTATCTTTTTATTCTCTGAAAAGCATGTTTCTCGGAGCAAAGGTTTTTTTAATTTAATAAAGTGTCCTTTATCAGTTTTTTCTTTTATGAAATATACTTTCTGTGCCATATCTGTGAACTCTATGCCCAATGCAAAGTCAAGGGTTTTCTTCTCAATTTTATAGGTTCACATTTTACTTTTAGATGTATTATTGTCTTAGTTACTTTTCTCGTTACGGAGACAAAATACCTGACCGCCCAAGTTAAAAGGGGAACATTTGTAGAGGTTTGTAGAGGTTTCAGTCCATAATAGGCTGGCTCCAAGGCCAGATGGCATGACAGACAGGCATCACAGAGCAGAAACAGTTTATGGTGGGCAGAAGGTCGCAAAGCAAGTGGGGGATTTAGCAGCTTTTGTCTGATCCTTTTATATTCTATAGGCTGCTGGGATTAGGGCAGCACCAAACCAATCAGTGGACTTATTTAGTCATCTCCACCCTTAATGCTAGCACCCTTAATCTTAGCATTGCACTATGAGTCCATCACACACTCTCGATTAAGCCTCCTCTGGAAAAGCCCTACCTATGACCACGTGAGGCTTTGGAGGGACATCTAGACACAAACTATAACAGCAATCTATTTTGAGTTGATTTTTGTATATGGTATGATATTCGGATCAAAGTTTACCTTTTGGTTCAACACCATTTCTTGACACTACTATCTTCTCTCCGTTGAACTTTTTTCAAACTTGGTCAAAATTCAGTTTGCTGTGTTTGTGTAAATCTGTTTGGAGAGTCTGCATTCCATTCTGTTGGTCTACATGTTTATCCTTTTGCTAATATCACCTTGTTTTGATTACTGTGACTCTATAGTATGTCTTAAAATTGGACAGGGTAAGTCCTCTCATTTTTGTCTTCTTTTTCACAAGTGCTTTCCCTCCCTCCCTCCCTACTTTGTCTCGCTGTGTCTGCCTCTGTCTGTCCCTGTCTGTCTCTCTCCCTCTCTCTCTGCCCCTCATCTCTCCAAGGTTTAGAATCAGCTTATTTTGTGTATGGGAAATCCTGCTGATAAGCTGATTGATAAAGTGTGGGCTCTATAGCTCAATTTGAGGATAATTTACATTTTTGCAACATTGAGTCTTCCAACCTATAAACATTTGGTGTTATCTAAGTTATCTAACTATCTAAGTTAGGTCTTCTTTGATTTCTTTCACCAGAGTTTTGTAGATTTAAAATATGGACTCCATGCATGCTTTGTTAGATGTGTACTTGTTTAATTTTTAAAACTATTGTACATGTTGCAAACATTCAATATCAATTTTTAATTGGGCACTAATAGTTGCATTTGCTTTATTTATTTATTTATTTATTTTTAAAATTTTTTTTTCCAGTACCAGGAATCAAACTCACGACCTTGAGCTTGCTGGCAGGCGCTGTGCCGCTGAGCTAAATCCCCAGCCCCTGCATTTGCTTTTATGGCTGTTACAGCAAATTACTACACATCTGGTGCTTAAAACAACAGAAGTATGTTCTCTCACTGTGTGGAAGGCACAAGTCCACAGCCAGCTTTGCGCTGAGGTCAAAGCGGCAGCAGGGCAGTGCTCCCTGCAGAGGCTCCGAGGGGAGGAGCCGCTTGCTGTGCCTTCCTCTGGCAGCTTCGGCATCCTTGGCTTGCACTTGCAATTCCAGCTTCTCCTCTGTCTTCACACTGCCTCTCCCCTGTGTGTGTGATCTCCTTCTACCTCCCATTCACAATGACACTTGCGATGGCCTTTAGAGCCCAGCTGGGCAATACAGCATGATCTTCTCATCCCAAAACCCTTGACTGAATGATATCTGCAAAAATGCTGCCATATCAGGTAACAGTCACAAGTCCTAGGGATTAGGGCCTAATATCTTTGAGGACATTTTTCAGGCCTACCGTATTAGTTTCTAGTAACCAAGGTTGTACATGGGTGTGTGTGCATGTGTGTGTGTGTGTGAGAGACAGAGAGAGAGAAAGAGAGAGGGAGACTTTGTGTGCTGACCTTGCATCCTTCAACCTTGTTAAACTCGCTTATTAATTTTAGGAATTTTTGTGGTGGATTTTTTGGGATTTTCTACATAGTTGTGGGATCTACAAATAGAGATGCTTTCTTTCCAATTTGTGTGAATTTCATTTCTTTTTCTTGCCTTATTTTTGGACCACAACTTCTAATATAACATCAAATAGTAGTGTAAACATCAGCATCTTCACCATGCAGGGACAGAGCAGCTTTTCACCCACAGTGCTCCCATGCCATGCTCTCTTGCCTTGGAGTTGGCCTGCTTTCGATGGAAACATGAGCCAAAGTAAACATCTTTAAGGTGTGGGTGGTGGGTGTTGTGTCTCGGGGACAAGGAAGTGACTAAGACTTTAGCTGCACTAAAATTGTTGTATTTTCATTAAGTTCAGAATATTCTCTAGTACTACGTGAGACTTTTTGACTCATAGATTATTTTAAAAGCTTTTTAAAAATATTTCCATGTATTTTGAGATTTGCCTATTATCTTTTGTATAGTACACTGATTCCTAGCTTAATTCCATTATGCTCCGTAAATGTCACCTAGCATGGATTCTTAAACACATGTAAGATGAAAGTCAGACGTGGACCAGTTCTTGGGCCTTCTGATGTCTGTCACCATTGTCCACCTCTTCTTCAGTTCCTCTAGAGGGTAGGGCCTTTGTATGCACTTCTAATCACCTGAGCATTCTTGCTGTATTTGTATTAACATGAAAAGTTGCCAGTTCACAATAGCTGAACTATAGAAACAGCCTAAATGCCCAACAATAGATGAATGAGGAAAAAAAAAGAAATATATATATATATATACACACACAATAGAGTATTATACATCCATAAAGAATGATCAATTTGGGTCTCTTGTAGGAAACTAGGTGGATCTTGATACCATAATGATAAGTGAAGTAAATCAAACACAGGAAGTTAAATATTGCATGGTTTTGCTTATATAAGAAACCCATCAACAAAATAAAAAGTAAAATAAAGGAGAACTGGCAAGAAACAGGGCAACAAACTTTTGTGAGTTGGGGAGGGTGAACAGGGAAAAGAGGGAGAGAGGAGGCCGAAGGCAAGGAAGGGGATAAAATGATCAAAATGTGATATACGTGCATACTGGTTTTCCAAAATGAATGTAACTGTTGTGCATTCCATATACCAATACAATTAGTGAAGAAAAGAAACCACAAACGGGCAAAGTCTTCCAGTGTTAACAGCCTGAGCTCTGAATGCCAGCTCGAAGGTGAACAGCCCTCCTCTGGGCCCTTGGAGCTAACAGTGGGCTTGGGGACCCTTCCGGCCCCCAAAGATGGTGACTCTCGGCACTTCTGTGCTGTTCTCTGCTGCTCGCTGCCTTTTGTGTTACCAGTCCTGGCTGCTGGCAGCTTTTGTCACCACTTGAAATAGAAACCGCAAACAGGCAAAAAAAAAAAAAAAAAAAAAAAAAAATAAACATTCTTAAGATAACCTGAGAGAAGACTACA